TATCTTATTTTAAATTCTTTCAATTGATAGATTTTCTAGTTTGCAGGCACATAATCTGCAGATACTAAATTTTTTGCCTCATCCTTTCTAATCTTCATACTTTTTTTTTCATCATTGCATTTGCTGGACTCTGGAACAGTGTTGAATAATAGTGCAGACAGTGAGTGTTCGCCCTTCTTCTTTTCGCCTTGACTGAGCGTACCTCTGGTGTTAACACCATGCCGCACCGTGCCGACAGTTTCTGGTGACTTGTGCACCTGTGCCATTTTAACTTTTTGAAGTCTTTTTTTTTTTTTTAACCCTTTTTCCGTTTTTGAAATCTTAAGATTCCCTAAGGAGTTTTTGTTTTTAACCCCCCTTACTCTTATTAATGTAATGAATTTCCTAATTTTAAATGATTCTTATTCCTGGAATAAACCTTTTTTGATCATGTTTTGGTACTCTTTCAATATACTGTGGTTCAGTTTGCTTTAGTTAGGATTTATCAGCTGTATCATAAATCATACACCCCGAGCAGTTGTTTTAAAACTTAAAAAGCAGTGAAATAGTGTCTGACATGGTTTTATTCATTTTCTGCTACTGTTTATTTTTTCTAAGTTATTTTTCTCAAGTTTAGAATACTTCAGTAATTTTTTTAAGAATACATAGAGGACATTGATGGTATACCTTTTGAGACTTTTCCAAAAACAACTTCCTAGTCCTGAGATCACCTCCTTGAAATGTAGTTTGAAAGGCTAAATCTGAGGTCATAATTTTTCCTTTAAGTTCTAGATACTTTGTCTTTTGGCATTTAGAGATTCAGATAAGATGCCAAGTCTGATTTTTCTTTCCTTTGTCAAATCTGCTTTTTCCTACAAGTCTGTATAATTCTGTTTTTACCATTGGAATTCAGGAATTTCACCATATGTACAGTGTAGTAGAGATGTCTTTAGAGAAAATTTCTGCCTGGCACTTGATGAGCCCTTTTTAAAAGACAGTTTCATCCAGTTTAGGAAAATTTCTTGTACTGTTATTTTTTTATTATCTCTACCAATTCCATTCCTTACTTGCAGAATTTTCATTGTGTAGTAATTGAATCTTCTGGAATTATATTCCTTGTTATATATATTTTTTCTTGTATTGACATCTTTTTGCATTCTGAGAAATGTCCTGACAGTGATAGCCTATAATTCAGTTACTGTGTTTTTCATCAGTGCTTATCACATCTGTTCCTTCTGTTGAAATCTCTTTTCCAGGTTTTTCTTTATCCTGAATACTTTTTGTTTTTCCTTTTATAGGGAGGAATATGCAGCTTAGTTTTACATATTTTGCCTGGGGTAATAATAATTGCTGTCAGTTTTTTATCTCTACATCTTTGGGGACCATTTTCTTGCATAGCAATTATGTCTTTTGTCCCCTCCTACTGAAAATTATGGATGTTTAATGTATAAAACCGGTATTTGAAGGAACTGTTTTGTCTGAACATTAGTAAGGTGATGCTCATCTACTCAGGATTCAATCTCCATGCCCTGCCTACCTCTGAGTGAGTTTTGCAGAACCTAATTTGAAAAAAACTGGAGGGAAAAAAAGTATTTTTTTGCTATTTTGTTGCTGTTTCATAAATTCCATTTTGTTGTTTGATTAGTAAGAGTCTTCCTGAAATCAGCAATAGTTTCATATATGTTCTTTGGGATGTTGATTTCAGGAATGACATTTTCCTCTAGCCTTTTTTTTTTATCCTTTGCACAGAACTCTTTTCTATTGTAAAACTTTTTCATTCTTTTCTGATTAATACTATTCCTTATTGCATTTGTGTCATTGTAATTATTTGAATATTCCTTAGAGACTTGATCCCACTTGAGGTGATTTTTAAAATTACTTCTTGATGTACCCTGGAATGCAGAACGCACGTCCTGTGTTTGGGATCAGAGGAATCCTGGTGGTAGATCAGTGAGGTGCTGTTAAAGGGCCAGCCCTATTCCACTCTGTAGTGGATCAGTGATGGTCAGGTCAATTAGGGCAGGCTTAAAAATCCTTTTTAATGTCTATCTTGCATTATATTGGAAAACTTAATGTTATTCTCAGCATAAAACAAAATAATAGCCACCTCTAATCCTACTGTCATGGCCCTAACTGCTGCTAACATTTTGATTTATGTTATTCTAGAGTTAATCCTGCTACTACATCCTCACCAGCATTTGGTAGTGTCAGGTTTTGGACTTTAGCCATTCTAAGAGGAATTTGCAGTTCCCTAGATGTTGAGGATCTTTCCATATGCTTGTTTGTCATCTGTGTATCTTTGTTGAGGTGTCTGTCTAGCTTTTTCGCCCATTTTTAAAATTGGTTTGTTTTTCTTATTGTTACATTTTAAGTGTTCTTTGTATGTTTTGGGTACCAGTCCTTTTATCAGTTACGTATTTTGCAAAGATTTTTTCCCAGTCGATAATTTTACTGTTTCATTCTCTTAATGCTTTTGCAGAGTGGAAGTTTTTAGTTTTAATTAAGTCCAGCTTACCAATGTTTTCTTTTGTGGATTGTGCATTTGGTGTTAGGTCTAAAAAGTTATTGTCACACCCAAGGTCACCTGGATTTTCTCCTTTGTTATTTTGTAGGAGTTTTATAGTTCTGCTTTTATGATCCATTTTAACTTTTGTGTAAGGTCTCTGCCTAGATACACTTTTTTGCATGCAGGTATCCACTTCTTCCAGCATTGTTTATTGAAAAGACTATCCTTTCTCCATTGAAATTACCTTTGCTCCTTTGTCGAAGATCAGTTAACTATATTTGTAATCTATGTTAGTTTCCTAGGGCTTCAATAACAAACCACCACAAACTGAGTATCTTAAAGCAACGGAAGTTTATTACCTTACAGTTCTGGAGGCTAGAAGTCTGAAAAGATTCTGGCAGGGTCATGTTCTCTCTCTCTCTGAAACCTGTAGGGGATGATCCTTCTTTGCTTCAAGCTTCTGATGCTTGCTGGCAGTCCTTGATTCCCTGGCTGATACATGCATCAGTTTTTGAACATTTAGATTGCTAAGTGTTGTTTTCATTTTTGAAGAAGATGGTGATGAACTTCCTTATGCATTATTATCTTGCATGTTTGTTAAATCTTTATCACAGGATAAATTCTAGAAATGGAATCAAGAATTAAAAGGTGTACAAATTTTGAAGGTTTAGTGTATGTTTAGTTACATTAACTCTTACTTCTAACCTAGGTTTCTGACCTAAAGGCTGTTTTTTATCATGGCCTGCTATTCTTGGATTAGGACTTGTTGGTGGGAGATATGACTGAATTTGATTGAGTTGATTTCAAATTGCAGGTAGTGTTTCTGAAACTTGGTACAGGAGTTTGTAGAGACCCCTTCCAAATTCTGACTTGTGCTCTTGCCATGTGTTTTTACTTCTGTAGAAGCTTTCTTTCTTGAACCCTTGAGTGTGGGAACTCTTTAGTTTGGGGGCCAGGCTGTGGCAGGGACTGAGGGGAGGGAATGTTGGTCATTTTGAATTAGCACTATTTTATGGGTAGAGCTCCAAGAACTTCTTTTGCTCCCTGTTTGTAATTGGTCTGCAACTCTTTGGCCAGCTTCATTATGTTAGCTAGCTTTACAGAATTTTTAGGGGTAATTGTTTAGCCAGGTATTCTAGTGAGACAGTTTTTCTCAGCTGCTTATAATTCTATATTTTTGAAATAACAAAAATGCTTGTGAAAATCTTGAAACTTTTGTTAGATTAACTTGGAACTTTGGTAGATTTAGCAAATATCTTGTGTGAAATAATCTAAGTCCCATTGATCTAAAGTATAGATCATTTGCTGAGTTTGCAGTGCTTACCTAATTTATGCTAAAGCACCACAGAGTCTGAACGCAAAAGAAAGAAGCATGGCTATTCTTAACAAAGATTTTACATTGTAGATGAGAATGTACAACCTTCACATAAGAATAAAACATGAATCAGAGTGTTCATAAGGCTCTGTTATAAGCAAGTATATGTGAATACAAGTAAAATTTAGTTTTAACAATGTGTCATCGGTCAAGGTGATTTGAAGGAAGAACTTGGAAGAATTTACCTGAAATACTTTAATTCATTGTCTCCTCATTTTAGGATTACATTTAAAAGACGATTTCTGTGATTGAGTTGTCTTTTGGAAGATTAAACCCGTTTCAAGAGGACTTGGAGCTGGTCCTCGCCTTGAGGAAGCAGTGGCTTGTTTTCAAGAAGCCACTTCTGTTCTAAGAATTTGCTCAGCATGCCTAATCAAGGAGAAGACTGCTATTTTTTTTTCTATTCTACATGTACCAAAGTAAGAATCAGTATCCCTAAATCAGTTCTTTCTATGATTTCCGTAATAAAAGTGGGTAAGGTTTCTTCTAATATACTGAGTTGTTTCTATGTGTTGTTGACTCAACTGTTTATTATCTGCTGTCAGTTTTTTAGTAAAGGATAGTAAAGAAATTCTTCTAAGAGAACTTTTTCTTCAATTTTTTGCTCTTCATTTTATGTTCTCTGTACGCTGCTGAAGTGAAAAGGTGCATAGCATTTAGTCATCATTCAGTGTTTTTGTATTTATAATTAATCTCTTCAGGGGGCCTTTGGAATTAGGAGCACTTGGCCTGTGGCTTGCCAGCTTAGATTTTATTTACGTTGTGTTGAATGGGTGGGTGGGTTGTATTGTACTTGAAGAAACTGTGATGGGTTGAATTTGACTTTTTTCTCCCGATTTCCTGCTGAATACTAAAGCCACTTTTCTAAATATGCTTTTGCAGCTTTATTGCTTTTTCTGTATTAGAACTTCCTATTTTTCAGCTTGGTTCTTTTACAGGTCCATTTAGATCTAGCCACTGTTTTCTGTTGTTCCTCTGCGACTAATTCTATACATGTATGTGTTTTTACAAAAGCTATTAAATCATCTTGGTGCTGTGCTTAACACTGTCAGTTTTGAGCAAAGCTTCGATTTTATATAGCAAGCAGCACACAGTAGCATTGTTTTCAGAAATTGTATGGAATATATAGTGAAGCATGGAGTTATACTTCAATTCTGATCTGTTAACTTTCTCATTTTCCATTAAGTGTTAGTTACCCAAGTTTGGATATACGAAATGGTTTTAAAGATTAACTGTGAAGTACATCTTTAAAGAGTACCTAATACTCCCACTTGTCTTTTTCAATCCCATCTTTCAGCTTGTGTCATCCATGTTGTCATTTCAGATGAAGGATACTGTCAAGAAACAGTTTTTAGGAAATGATAGATTTGTTGACCTCAGATTGTTCCTGTCATGTCTTTTCATTTGTTTTCTGCCTTGCCTATTTCTCCTTATTCCTTTGTGTTTGTCCAGATGCCAAGAAACTTAACATGAACGTTTTGCCTGGGATCTAGTTTGGTACCACAGTTCTTTCCTGTGTCATTGTCCTTGCTTACAGGGTGACAGCTGTCCATTCCGTCACTGTGAGGCTGCACTAGGAAATGAAACCGTTTGCACATTATGGCAAGAAGGGCGCTGTTTCCGACAGGTGTGCAGGTTTCGGCACATGGAGATTGATGTAAGTTTTTAATTCATGAGTAGTCTGATGTCATGATGGGCCAATAAAAAATATAGGGGAAAAGTTTTATATAATGTATGGGTTAAAACTTTTTAATGATCTAGTGAAATTTGTCATTATTAAAATGCTATCTAGATGTTATAGGGTATGAATTGATATCATTTTTCTTAAAGGCAGTTTGGTAATCTTATCTAAAATGTAAAAATTATATATATATATTTGGGGAGTATTTATATTTCTATGTTTATTTAAAACCATCTAAAACTCAAGAGAATGAGTTGCAAGTACAGTGTAAAACTTTTTCTTCTAAGCAATTTCGGAGTGAATTACTGACATTCCCTATCACTTCCAAATACCTTCATTACTATTTTCGTACAAACAAGAAAGATATTCTCTTTCATAACCATGATACAACCATCAAAATTAGAAAATTAACATTTATATGTTACCTTCATTGACTCCTCAGATTCCATTCAAGTTTTGCCATTGTGTCAGCGATGTCCTTGACTGCAGGAGGAATCG